CTTAGCGACTAATCTAGAGTTTGAAATACGAGTGGCAACTTCAGCCTTTAGCAATATTGACTTTCCCACAGGAATGCTGGAAGTTCTCAAATACGAGGAATCCTTTTTTGGCGCCGAATAAAGTTGATTTGCCGAACTGTTCGCTCAGTTACGTCATGGCAGGGAGCTGACGTCATCATTAAGCCCCACCTCGTCAGGGTTGGGGAGCCAATCAGAAGGCGCTGCGGTTGGAATTATTCAACGGCCAAAGTGACGTTTAGAATTTTCATGGCTTATTCATGAAGTAGTAAATAAAATTTCTCTTTCATCGGGGACGGCACACCAAAGATATTACCATATTTCGACTCAAATAACGCGTATTTTTCGAAAATTATCATCAATAGCTCCGATGCTCAAGAATGACGTCATAAGCAGGCCCCGCCTCGATTCTGACGTCATAGAAAAGACCCAGATATCCATGATGACGTCACTACCCCTGCCTTCCCAAGAGAGACGGCAGAGCATTAAAACTGGAAAGAGATGAGAGAAGACGACAAAAAACACAAAGAAAGATGAAAGGGAGAGAGTGAAAAATAGCAATGAAGTGAAAATAAGAAAAAGAAAAGTATTGAGAACAGAGGATAAAAAAAAAAAAATGAAAATAACAGAAGAAAGAGAACCATTCAAAACAATGGAACCCAAAAAAATAAAAAAGAAAATAAACGAAGCATTACGATTATTAATTTTTATTTTTTTCTTTTTCTTATTCTTTCGTTTTGTTTTTTATGACTTTCTTAAGACCGACTTTTGTTTGTTTTTATGACTTAATTTTAATGACTATAGAGCTCATGGTTCCTACAAAGCCGATTGTCGAAAAACAATCATTTTTAGATTATTATTCTTTACACTATTTATAACGTTTTTTTTTTTAATCGAGATAAGTGAGAGTTTGAGAGAAAAAAAGGAGAAATAAGAAAAGGAGGAGGAAGAGAGGAAGGAAATAATGGAAATGCCGAATTATAGATTGGGGAACAATAAAAAAGTTTGAAGAATAGAAGAATGATATGAGAAAGAGATTGAGAGAGAGGGAAAGGACGGAGAGGGAGAGAGAAAAAGTAAGAGCGAAAGGAAAAAAAATAGAAAGAGCGAGAAAGAAAGAGAGAAAATTTGAGAAAGAAAGGGAGGAAGCGCGAGAGAAAAGGGTAGAAAGAACAAGAAAGAAAGAGAATGAGAAAGAGAGAGAGAGAGAGAGAGAGAGAGAGAGAGAACTAGAGGGTAAGAGGGAAAGAAAGAAAGAGAGAGAAAAGGAAATCAAGAAAGACAAAGTTGTTTCCTTTTTCTTCTTTTCTCCTACTTCCCATTCTCATGATCCCCTCCTTCTCTAACCATTCATATCCTTTATCTTCTTTCCCCTTTACAACCTCTCTCTTTCTCCTCTTATTCCTCCTTTACTCCCATCTTTATTTAGCCTCCCCACTTCCCCCATTCCCCCCTCTCTCTCGCTTTCGACCAATTGGCTCTGATTATGCGTCTTGGGGGGGGGGGGGATTTCATCGTCTTAAAAGATGAGGAGGGAGAGGGATAGAGAGGGAGAGGGGAGAGAGAGGGGAGGAAGGGAGAGGGGAGAAGGGGATAAAGGGAGGGGGAGGAAAGAGAGGAGGGAAAGGGGGGAAGGAGAAAGTGGGGAATGAGAGAGAGAGAGAGATTGGGGAGGAGGAGGGAGAGGGAGAGTGGGTAAAAGAGAAGGAAAAGGGAAGAGGGGGAGGGAGAGAGATAGGGAGGATAAGGAGGGAGAGGAAAGGGAAATAGAGGAAGAGAAGGAAGGAGAAAACCACAGAAGGTGAGAATTAGGGAAAAAGGGGGAATGAGCAGGAAAGGGAGATCGCGAAGGATAAAGGCATAGAAATGAATAAATAAATAAGCGAAGGAGAGGAAAAGAGAGAGGACTACGGAAGGTAAAGGAAATTGATAAAATAGAAAAAGAAAGAGAATATGAAGTAAAAGGTAGAAAGATGCGAGGGGAATATAGATTGAGAGGGGAAAGGGGGAAGTGAAAAAGGAAATGGAATAAGAAGTAGGAAGAAGAGGGGAAGGGAAGTGAAGGGAGAGGGGAAAAACAAGCAAATGAAAGGGAAAAGAGGCAGTGACGGGGAGGAAAAAGGAGAAAGTGAGGGGAAGAAGAGAAAGGGAAATTAAAGATAGGGGAAAGAGAAAGTGAGGAAACGTTAGAAAAAAAGGAAGTACGGAGAAATGGGGGAGAATAGATAATGGAAAAGAGAGAAAATCGGAAATAAGGGAAAATGAAAAAAAGAGAACTGAGGGAAAGGGGAAACAAATAAGAGAAAGGAGAAAGAGAGGAAATAAGGAGAAGGAAAAGGGAGGTTATCAATTAATGGAAAATAGAAAAAAGAGACCTGAGGAAAGGGGAACAAATAAGAGAAAGGAGAAAGAGGGGAAACAAGGGAAAGGAAAGGGAGGTTATCATTAAGAGAGAGAAAAAAAAGATAACTGAGAGAAAGGGAAAACAAATAAGAGAAACGAGAAAGAGGGGAAGCAAAAGGGAGGTTATCAATTAAGAGAAGATAGAAAAAGAGAAAGGGGAAACAAATAAGAGAAAAGAGAAAGAGGGGAAACAAGGAGAAGGA